CAATCCTGTCAGCCACCACCGTGTGGGTAAACAACACCCCGTTAGCTGTCCGGTCTGCAACACGCACCCGCACTCACGCAGTATTTTGTGTGCATGCGCATATCATGCGCAAAGCATTAACATATATCGAACATTTATCTAACTTTTGTTAAAATTATATAGAGGAAAATTATATCGTGATAATGATCAATATCGAATTATCGCCCAGCCCTACCTTGAGTGTATGATCTCTACCGAACTTCAGTTTTTTTGGGGTGATGGTATTGCATCTGTTCACAGTCTGGTTTAATACCGCAGCTCTTATTTTATGGTGACAGCTAGAATAAAACGTGTCCTTCCCTCCCATGGTACAAGATTTCATTTATTCTGTAATTTCCCTGCGACCGATGTAAATTACAAATCGGTTCTGTTTTTATTTGATTCCGGTGTGGTAATTGCTGGACTTTAGAACTGCACACCCCTTATTCGTGAGGGAAAACCTGACAGTAATGCCTATAGGAACATGTTTGTAAGGTAGTGGAGTCATGAACAAAGTGGCAAACAGTTATTTATGTAATTTGACAGACTCCAACCCGCAACATTTACATCTGTATGGATGCTCAACAAAAAAGAACCTTTCAACATAAACCCAATACAAAATAACAATATAAGACAATGATTTCCTTACCCTTTTGGATAATGCAAAAATGGAAATGCAGTACATACACAGCCAGAGGACAATGCCTGCTTTCCTAAGATTAGGTTCTGCATTGCACTGGAGCCAAATTCTCAGAATTACTGGGGATACTCGACTTTGAATGTATTTGTATAAAGTGCATCCCTGATCCCCCACCTTCATTATTGGTAGGGAATGGTAAAACTTTCAGATCAAACATCATGTGGTTACGTTTACCATTTAATTAAGATTGATATGTCGTCTACGGAGTCAAGAGTTATGCAGACAAGCCTTAATAATTATTTTCTCAGTCCTATGGTAATCTTCCAAACACCAACAAAGCAAAAATCTGTTCACCCTTACTTAATTATAATAACAACTGATATGAAATACAATAAAAGTTCCACACATTATGAAATATTAGTAAAAGAGGAATAGTAAAATTGCCTGACCACCTTGGCTCTAGAGTGACTGCCTGCATCCTAAGATAAGAGGCAGCTATTGAGCTCCAATAAGCTTAACCAAATGCTCCCAAAATACCATTGTTTTACCTTTAATTTATTGATAACCCAATTGGCACACAGCAGTATTCATGGATGCTTACGTAGTCCCTTTGGATACAGACACATTGTATGCAAGTTACACCCCTTGCCCAGTATATTGAGCTAAAAGAGTAGCACAGTGTTTCTGATCTTATTCTCTACTCATTTGTGGAGATCCTCATAAACTATGGGCGATCAGTGTGAGTTGGAAGAGGATCATTACCCAAATTGTATCTTTATTCCTCAGGGAGCAAAAGGCATCTTTTTTCATATGTGGGAAGAGCCAAATATGGCTGCTTTCTAAATGCAGCTCTCTTCAAGCTTATCTACTTTTCTAGAGAAAATCATTCCTTGTTTTCTGGCATTTCTCTGGTTGTATGATGACTCATTGCCTAAATTTATCTCTGCGTCACAAGTTGATTTGACGGTATGATAATACTGCTACTAAGAAGGTCATTCGGTTCTGACACCCTTTGTATGTATAGCAAAATCCTCTTTTTTTTATATTTTGGGGTGAAGGCAAGGGCTAAGAGCACATTGTAGCTTTTAGTTGTCCGGACAGAAAAACTTCATGAGGAGTAACAGCAGCAATAGATAAGTTTATGCAGCACTGAAATTGCACTGGGCTTAAAAAATAATGTTCAAGGACTAGTAGGGAGTAGATGTCTGGAGCTGTAAATAAGCTCTTTGTCCTGCGATATCTTTGCTTTACGCTTTACTGCACAAATATGTTAACTATTCCTTTTTGTGCTTGTTTTTGAAGCTGCTTGTCTATATAAATGGGAAAAGTTAAAGCTGGTACTTTGAATAACCCGTTGCTCCTGTGGCAATTCCTGTATGCATACACAATAAACTTACTGCGCCTTTCTCAGTGAACCCGACAGATCATTTCTTTCCTACCAGGGTTAGAAACAATCTGCACTGAGTGCATTTCAAACTACAATGAAAGTAAAATTGTGTAAAACCTCCAATTTACATCACAAAATAGATCACATTTCCCAGTATTTGCAGCTCCATATTGCTGTCGTAGTCTGCGATTCACAATAAGGCAACAAAACTTCCAGTGATGAATTATAAACAACCAAGCTTGTGAATATGTCTCTTTTAATCCAATACCAGTATCGGTCTGGACTTTGAGACTGTTTTGCCGATAAATACTGTGTGTCATGTCTGCATGAAGATCACATTGGAACATGCCTGCATTGAAATGTCTGCTGCACAGCCTATAGTTTTTTACTTGTACATCAGTCATTACAGGGACTAGTGAGCAGGAAGGGTTGGCTTAAATCACAATTCTCACAAACTTGCGCTCTCGTCTGTGGCAAGACCAGTGGTTTGCAACAACATGGCGACCATGCAGGACTTTCACAAAGTTCACGATTTTTTGCTTTATTTAGAATTTGCTAAGTTTTGCAATAAGGTCAATGAATTAATTTTGTTACCGAGATTTCATAACCGGTCTAAAAAATTGGGACTGCAGTTCCCCTGTAATAATATTGTGGT